GTGTGTGTGTGTGTGTGTGTGTGTGTGTGTGTGTGTGTGTCCTGCCAACTGCCGTCGACTACAGCTACTCGACTGTACACGTCCACCCTCAACTCAATACTTGGTTACACGAGACTGCAGCAACGCCTCCGCAGCAAGCTGGAACGGAAAGATGTTGACACTTTGCTGCAGTTGGACTTCTGTATGCAATGCTTCAGAGCGCGACCTCAGACATTCCAGATCGGTACCCTCACTTGCGCGCCGCAGTTGGCCATTGATGCATCCGGAACGTTCACTGACCTTCTTGGGACTTGGGCCGCTGACTAGACTGGACTGGACTGGACGGTGTCAGCATTTACCCTACCGGAATGGACCAGACTCTACCCATCCACAGGCCTGAACTTGACCTACCTACCTACCGAACTGGTACTCTTATGGTACATCCTCATTCAGAAGCCTTACCTCCACAAGCGTCTAGAGGTTCTGCATCGTCCACCATTGCAGCTTGTGAATCGCCCTCTGGAAAAGGCGATTCCGGGTGGGACCATTTTCCACCATTGTCTTTACCACCCTCTTGTTGACATATTGCGTGTCATCAGTATGTTCTCTGAGCAGCTCATTTGCTTTTACCGCTCTCTTAACCGCAGTGTGCCTGGATATCGTTCTCTTCCATCCTCTGTGCGATGCAGTACCTTTGGACAGCGGGGCAAGGGCGAAAACATTGTGTTGACCACCGTCCTTTTCCTCTCTATTGATGCCACACATGCTGCAGTCTGGTTCTTCCCCATGTCGGGGGATTGGACAATATACCGCCCTGCTTCCTGAAGTATTGTCCATGTGTCCCCTACTACCTAGTGTGCATGTGTCATAGCAGCCACATCTCGTACATGCCCCTTTGTGAAGTTCTCTCAGTCGTGCCTCTGTATTGATCCTCGGCCTCTCCCAGGGCCTCCTTTGCTTTCAGGACCTATTGTTGCTTCGCCCTTGCTGCCTATTCGTCTTTTGTCCCTGCTGCTACTGTTGCCTCGGCTCTTGCAGTCCTTTGTTGGGGGCAGCACCCGCCGCCTTCTAGACGTTTTGGATGGCAGCAAGGATGGACCAAATTTCACCAGTCCAGATATCGGGCTCAACTTTCTCGTTTGCAACTTCAGACAGACCGTCACCCCTACCGCAGTCGTCCTGCAGTGCCCCTCCTCGCTGGGGCAGGTCTTTCATCTTGCCCAATGGACGCTTCCAATCCCGCTACGGATTGCAGCACGAAATTTGAGTTTCGTTCTCTTCGGCCATGCGCCGATATGGCTTATGGTCCTGCTACGGATTCCAGCACTGGTTTAAGTCTCATTCCCTCTTCATCCATGCGCTGAAACGTCTGCAGCTGCTGGTGTTGGACCCCGAAGCGGTTGGCCATCCTGGTCGGGAGGGCGCTCATGAAAGCAGGTATCATTACCTCCTCCTCAAGGCCAAGCCACTGCACAGGTCTGGTAAGCTTTGTGGACCAGATCATAGACAGCACCTCTGTACTTCTGATTATCCAACTGGAAAAGCGTCCAGACTCCAGAATGCTTTATCTTGGGCCATGTCACAGTCGTTTAATGTCGGGGAAACTACACGGCAGTCATAAAAAACAGTTTAAAATTGCACTTCAGGCATTCGGCCTGAAAATGTCGAATGTATACAAGCTAGCTTCAGGTCCGGTACGGTCAGGAGGGGGTGTATTATGTTCGTGGGAATGCCTGAAGTGCAGTTTCTAACTGTTTTTGTGACCGCCGGGTAGTTACCCCTTCAACGTTTCTTTAGCGTTTGAGTAAGTCAGCCCAGCTGATGTTTCTTGCAAGCCTCTGCCGTTTGTGAGACCTCCGAATTCGGCCGCTCCTTTGCAGACGCGAAGTGGATTTTATCTTCGTCCTTGTCGACCTGGTAGTACTCGAGGTGGCCAGCCTGTTCACCCTTGAACTGAACTGGCTTACGGCATGCGGGTGTCTTGCTCTCTGCGTCAGAAGAGGCCCAGGTTGCTGGGATGGGGTAGACGGGCACAGCAGTGCGGAGGGCGCGGCCACTTTGTTGGCAAGATCTTGCAGTTGAGCAAGAGCCTTGTGAACACAGTGGTCTTCAGTGTAGCGGCATTGTCCTGCCGTGTGAACTGCAGGACAATCATTGCCTACAGTTTCTTGTCATGAGCGGTCGTAGACTCTTGCAGAGAATTGTGTTTCTGGGAATTTTATTGCAACTTATTAACGAGGTCGGGGACCTCACAATTCTACCTGGATCTCGTCTGCTTTTGAAAATGCTTGGTTGTCTATGGACACCACACACTTTTCTTCCTGCTGCAGGAGGTTTCCCTCCTGGTCACTCTGTTTATTTTGCCTGTACATAGCCACACGTAGAAGCTGACCTCTGTGTGTGTGTGTGTGTGTGTGTGTGTGTGTGTGTGTGTGTTCTGTGTGTTGTGTGCGTGCATGTGTGCGCTAGCATACGAGAGAGAGAGAGAGAGAGAGAGAGAGAGAGAGAGAGAGAGAGAGAGAGAGAGAGAGAGAGAGAGAGAGA